TAGACTCAGGGATGTGCSTGCATAGCAGGTCACTCCTTTGCAGCTCGCCAAGAGGATTTGTCCAAAGCAGCAGTCTGCCCTGGGAGCACTTTGGAGCCCATTTCTGAGGACGATGAGAGACTTYCCTGTTATTTATTTTTTCTTACGTGTGTTATTAGGTGGGGACCTTCGTGTTGTTTGGCGTGGCTCCGTGCTCTGCTCAGAAACGCCTGTCTTGTTGTTTCTCCCTGCTCTGAGGAGGTGAGAGTCCACCAGCCATCACGTGTGCCTTTTCCCCTACTTCCMACTGCCAATGCTAGATGGGTAGAGCAGCATGGAGCAAAGTAATGCTGTTTTCATCCAGACCCACCCATCCTCTGGACGTTGCTGTTCCTTCATCACTGCCTTGGTCTTGTGTCAAGACAGAAAATCATCCACCCAGTCACACTGTATTCCCATGTGCCTTCTCCTTGTGTGAAGTCRAAGGTGATACAGGCAAGTTTTCTCAGTTTAATCCTTATAAAATCAACATCCCTTGGATTCTCCCCTCCTACCAGCCATCCAGTGCTGCCAGTATTGATGGTTGTTGCCACGTTTTATTGCTCCCTGCTGTATATGCCTTTAGCATGTCGAGTCTCAGCTTCCAAAGCCTGGAATCATTTTGTTGGAAAGACAAAAGTTGTCCTGCCCTCTCTCCCTCTCTCGCCCTTTGATTTTGATTGACAGGATAAAAAGCGAACAGCAATTTTTATTACAATCATAAAGAACAACTAATAACCGCTTCTTTCAAGTTCTGGGTACCTCAAAGCTGGTGGATGGTGAAAATGGTTTAAGAATAAAGTGATTCAGAGCATGAGACAGGGTGAATTGTGTGATTAGCAAACCACATACMTCTATTTTCATCTGTGTCAAATTTGGCTTCTTTTGTGGCTGAAATACAGCCACCTCTGGGGCAAAACACCCTTTCAGCAGGTCAGTTTAGAAAACGAGAGTCATGCAGTAGAAACTTAAGAGTATTGTTAGACAACCTAAAACGCACCTCCTACTGCTTGCAGGGAGTAGAAGGATGAGCACATTTAGGGGAATCAGAAACACGGCTGGAGGTTTACTTGACTCCATTTGAATCAATAAGAGGGTCAGGCAGGACCCTCACTGATACCGGTGTAACCAGGACATCATGGCCATGCACRTAGCCCCTTTGGGACCAAACAGACCAGCTGATGTTGCTACCAAAGTCAGGCCTTCCTACGGAGAGCAATAGCAAGGTCAGGTAAGGGCGAGGGAGCACTGGTGGCTGCGCACGTGCTTGCTGGGAGCATGAGAGCCCATTTTCCAGTCCCAGCTGAGGCCGGAATTGGCCTCACTCAGTGCAACACTTACCTGCTTTCCAACCATGCTCTGATCTGCATAGCAGCAAGGCTGCCTGAGGTAAAATAATAACCCTGGAGAGCTTATTGAAAACATATTAGGTTTCCATCCCAGCAGCTGTAGTTAAAATTTAACAGGCTTAGGATAAATTTTTAACTAGCTAGGACTAATAAGAAGCTGCTGATCTGCAGTCCCTTGTAACACTTCCTGTGCTTCCATACCCGAAGTGATGCATAGGTGCAATCTATAGGTGCTTTAAATTCCAAAATCCTGAGAGCCTTTGCTATCCTGTTCTGCAGCCTGTCATTCCCATGATCTGCTCATGTGCCCAAGGCTGCCAGGTTTTTGCTTTGAGAAACACCAGGATAGGCAGCACCTGAGCAGGGGTGGGAGAGTGATGGGCTCCGACACATGAGATCCCCACAAGCATCAGGGGAGAGTCAGGGCTGAGGGCTGCGGTAGATGCAGGGATGGGATGGGATGGGATGGGATGGGATGTCACCAGGTTGGAGACAGGCATCTCCAGCAAAACTCAGGCCAGGTCTGAGCTTCAATGGGGCTCTGGGGCCACGGGCAGAGGGTGAGTGGGTGGAGGGCCCTCAGGAGAGGTTGGTCTCTGCCGTTAAAGCTGAGTGTGTCCTCAGGGACTGACGAGTTGTGTCTCCCTGTGTTCACGTTTGCATCGACAAGCAAAGAAGGTCTCTTGCAGCAACATGGAGCAGAGCAGGTGTGGAATTATCCACTAGTGCTTTTTGGTGAGCTTTAAAACCCACAGTGGGTCTTGCTAGCCCCAAATGTTATCTTGCCTCAAGGTATTTCAAGTTAGCTGCCCCCAACCCACCTACCCAAGGCATGACTTTCCACCCAGTGTTTGCACTGGGTCTCTTCCCGTCGGTGTCTGAATGCTGGTGGCTTGTCACGAACATCCCTTTGTGTAATGTAAGCCAAAACCATCTTCATATCTCCTTTCTTTTGTTCCCCCTGGTCCCATTGATCCGTATCCATCTGTTACCCAGGTTTCCAGCACCGTCCTACGTGAAGGACATGTTTCCCAAATGCATGGGTCGGGATTGCCGCAGCAGGAAATGGGGGGAGAGAGACAAAAAGAAAAGCAAAATGTTCCTCTCCTCTGGTGCCTTGTGGGAAGCGAGGGTTGAGCCCTGGAAGGAGGAGCAGAGCTGCCGTGAGTGCTGGTCCTTGAGTGCCCTCCTGGCAGCCCTGAGCAAGGCGAATGTGCGAAGGGGAGGCCCCAGCGCCAGCCCTCCCTGATAATGGTGCCTTTGTTGCCCCTGTCCCCGCTGCCGCTGCTGACTCGGGCTTTTTTCCCCGTCGCTGCCCATCCGTGGCGGCCGAGCGAGCGCCCCGTGACCGGGAGCGGGGGGAGCCTGCGGTGGCGGGGCGGGCGCGAGGAGGGTGGCGATGCGGAGGGGAGCGCTCTGCAGAGCCGGGCAGCACCAGCCACCGCCGCGGCGCCCAGGGCCGTGCGGGGCGCTCCGGCCTTCGCCAGCCCCAGCCGCGGACAGCGGGGGACACCTCAGAGCAAGGCGGACCGGGTGAGTGCCTCTACATTTTCCCTGACACCTTTAGCTCCTGATAAATACGCCAGGCTAAGTCCCACTCCAGCCCATCTTTTTCTCTGTAGAGGACACCACTAGTGAGCTGTGGGGTATCCCAGAAGCCATGCTGTGCAAGAGTAGAAAGAACRGATACCTGCTGCTCCCAGCTGCTTTCCACCTCTGGTCTTCTAACACACATTCATACCCTGTGGAAATGAGCGGGAGGAAGGAGAGCAGCAGAAAGGAGCAAGAGAAAACAGSTTTGCCCAGTGAGTGCCGACCCAAGGAGATCCCCACATCGTGTCTCTCTGTGCCTGGGCTAGGCTGGCCTTGCTACTAGATGGCTTCGTTCATTCCCAGCCCTTCCTCACTGCACATTAAGGTCATTCATAAAACCCATTGGTTTATATAGAGGAGGAGGGCAARGTATGCAAGATGTATCTACATCACCACACACAGGAACGTGGAATTGGAACCTGCCCTCAGCAGGTTTAAATTGCCTAGATGCACAGCCGACGGTAACCCAAGGCCTCCTTGGCCCTGATCCCCTTGGGATTGCTRGTGTGCCTGAAGGAAATGCATGTACTGAGTGCTTATACCCTGATGCAAGACCTGGGTGTCGCAGGGACACAAATACTGCTCTGCTGTCACAGAGCCTGTCTAGGGAGCAAGTGTCTTCCCTTCCCCAAGGATGGTGCTCTGCAGTGTCCTCTGCATCTCAGGAGCACTTCTAGGTTGACAGGARGGAGAAACAAGGCATGAGTGTAGCTCTCTACATGCTGGTGTTGGGAAGCCCTCCCTAGTCCAGACYTCCATATGTGCAGGCTGAGGACAGCGTTATTTTCCAGTGTCTCCAGAGTCATCTCTGCAAAACAGCTTTTCTTATTTAGATGCTTAAAATATCATCTCCTGAGTCTATTATTGCCATCAGGCATTCTGTCTTGGACAAGTATATAAAAAAGCAGAATGAATACAGATGTTCCTTGGAGGTGGACTATCCACTTAGCAGAGTTAAGTAGACCACTAACCCATGTTGTGGTAGCGGGGAGGGATGACCCACATATTGTCCTGCAACCCTCTCCAGAGTTGGGCTCAGGTACAGAGCTGCAGTGAAGGGAATCCAGGATCAAAGTGTGCCCTGAAGATCTGTGCAACCATCCTGGGCTGGTCTCTGTCTTGGCCACTTGGAGCYGACCAGCAATTTGCCCTCGCTACAAACCAGTGGCTACTGGGAGTGAGGAACTGCAGGTCACATCTCACTTTTTGCTGACCAGCCTGAACTTACTGGAAGACCCTTTCAAATGCCAGCTTGAAGATCACATTCATTTTATTTGGGAATCAGACCCCACTCCTGGTTTACTCTCACTGGTAGCCAAGAACAGCATCTGCCCAGTTCTGCTCCATCCGTGTTACCCCTGAGTCATCGAGTATCTCTGAGTGGGGATGATTGACCACTGGTGAAGACTAGATGCTCTCAGTACCGAGTCAGCTGTTTAGTTATTTGTCCTATGTACTAAAGCGACAACCTTTTGTTAGGCTAGCTGGTTACCTGTTTTCCAGACTTTTATTTGGTTTTGAGTGGAATTCGTTGTGTATGATGATAAATTCGATTGGGCTTTTCCTTGCTCATGATTGCTCTGTGCCCTGAGTTCGCCACAGCTAATGTGTGGGCTCCTGGGACATAAAGATCACTGCATAAAGGAGAAAGGGGTATTTCCTCTTTGGCGAAAATAACATGAAAGCTTTCTTAAAGCAAGGTAAAAATTCTTAAAGCAAGGTAGGAATAGCCAATTGACCAAGCCTAACTGCCAGGCTGTCACATCAGAAACAGCTATTCTGGAAAATATTCAGCATGTGCATGTAGCAGCCCATGTAGCACCTCCTTACCAGGAGTTCCCTCAAAACCAAGTTCTTCTTGCCATCTTCTCCAAAAGCCAATGTGATCACGCAAAAAGCAGGTCTCGAYCAACCCCTCGGCTCTAGGAAAGGCAGAATCATTCCCTGGATTTGGTGCTCCTGCTTGCCCTGACCCTTCCTCCTTTACAAACACTTCCTTAGGTGGCTTTGGGCACATTCCTTCCTCYTGCTGCAGCCACCATGGGCTCCCGGCATTTCCCAGCCCGGACAGTGCTCTTTGAGAAGGAGTCAAACGGCGTGACATACCGCGTGCCAGCCCTGCTTTACCTGCCCTGCATGGCCAAGCTGTTGGCCTTTGCTGAGGAGCGACTGAGCGCCGATGAYGCCCACGCCAATCTCCTGGTGCTGCGTCGGGGGACCATCTACAGGAACTACGTGGAGGTGAGTGAGAGACAAGGAACACCAGCGGCAAATGCAAGGGAAGGGGGCATCACCTAGACAAACATCCCAGGCAGCACRGGAAGCTCTCCGGGCGCATTGTTGGGTCGGGGGGACAGGGACACACTGGGATCACATAAAAGTCTCCTCTGAGAGTGTTGTTGCCTCTTTGCTATCGATGTATGGCAGGACTGAATGCCAGGAGCTGTTTGAAGCCCATTGCTGGGATGTCCTGGGATACAGAGATGCATGGCACAATGCAGGAGAGGCAAGGCAGCAGGCCAAGGCCCTCACCCCGGCTGTCCCTCCTGCTCCTCTTTCTACTTGTGCAGTGGGAAGACATGAGAGTGCTGGAGACTGCCGCTCTGAAGCACCACCGATCCATGAACCCCTGCCCCATCTACGACGAGTTCACAGGTACCCTCTTCCTCTTTTTCATCACGGTACTGGGGAAGACACCAGAAGCCTACCAGATCATCACCGGCCAGAACGTCACCCGTCTCTGCTACATCACCAGCACTGACCAAGGCCTGAGCTGGAGTAAGGTCACCGACCTGACACAGGAGGTCATCGGCAGAGCCATCAAAGGTAGCAACCCTGTGAGAAGGGGGAGAAGAAGGGCAAAAAAAGCCCAGAAGATGTGCGTTATCTTAGGGCTTCCAGGGACAACCTTTGCCCCAGCGGGAGTCAGGCTCTCGYTACATGTCCCAGGGCAGGGAAACCAATGACAGGGTCGAGGAGAAAGGGAAGAAGGTCCTGAGTAGACGGGAGAGGAGATGGGGAGMAAACCTGTATTTCTTTTTTCCTCCCTTCACCCTGAGTCCCAGGCTGCTCCTAATGCTCATCCCTTCTTTCCTACCCAGACTGGGCCACATTTGCCCTGGGCCCCGGGCATGGGATCCAGCTCCGCTCTGGCAGGCTGCTGATACCTGCCTACAGCTACCACATTGACTGCAAGGAGTGCTTCGGGAAGCTCTGCAAAACCACCCCGCACTCCTTCACCTTCTACAGTGACGACCACGGCCGGAGCTGGCGCTTTGGGGAGTTCATTCCCAACCTGCAGACYGGAGAGTGCCAGCTGGTCTCTGTGGACGAGGAGGATGGCTCCAATGTCCTTTACTGCAATGCCCGGAGCCCCTTGGGTTTCCGAGTTCAGGCGCTGAGCACCGATGATGGGGCCGTCTTCCACGTCGGGCAGCTGGTGCAGCGGCTGGTGGAACCCCCGCACGGCTGTCACGGCAGCATTGTTGGCTTCCCTGCACCTTTTGTATATGTCCCCACTGCTTCCCAGACCCCATCAGTATCCCTCCGAGGCCTAGGTCACTTGCTGCTCTCTAGGAAGTTCTCCAGATTTCCTAACCCTCCTGCTTCTGATGCAGCTGGTGGAAACACACACAACACTGCTTCGAGCAGCCAAGTAACAGATGGGTCCAAAGAGGTCTGTCCTTCTGGAGAGCATCACGGTGATATCAATGATGTCACCTTCTCAGGCCATATTGCAGGACAGCATGGCCCCCAAACTACCTCCAAACGCYCTGCCTTCTTTCAAACACCAACATGGGTGCTCTATTCCCACCCCACTAGCTCCATGTCACGGGTCAACATGGGGATTCACCTTAGCACATTCCCCAGGGATGCTGAGAGCTGGACCGAACCATGGATCATATATGAAGGCCCAAGTGCTTATTCAGATCTGGCCTACATCGAGCTGCCCTACTCAGAGTACTCAGCTTCTGGCACACCAGCCATTGCCTTTGCCTGCCTGTATGAGAATGGAACACGGTCTCCCTATGAGCAGATCTCCTTCAGCATGTTCACACTGCACGACGTGCTCCAGAACATCCCCTTGATGTCCGCAGCTTTGGAGCAGAAGGATGTCCCACTGAGTCACAGCAAGACGAAGGAAAGAAGCTGCCTTGTCTCCTAGAGCCACCTCCTGCCCCCAAATCCCATCTCCAAAACCAGACAGGCTGAGGGAAGCTGCGGGGGTGGAACAGCATGACTGCCACAGTGTGACTGCCAAGGCTCCTCCTTCAACTTGGTCTGAYGGTGCCAAGGGCTGGACCCTCAACTGGTGCGAGCAGGACAAGCACCATGAAACTGTTCATTGTGCAGGCATTACTATCCCAAAACAGGGTTTTATCTGATTATTTATTTTTTAATTAAAAGTGGTATGTTGGGCTTGGAGCCTTTGGTGCCACAAAGCTGTGTCCCTGGGGAACACACGCACACCGGTACAGTGYAGGCCCTATGACCATTTTCCCCACCTAAAGAAGACCGGTGGCAGCTCTTCCCATGTCATGGCCATCCTGGGTCTTGTACCTCCCTTTTTCCCATCCAGCCTTCCACCAGATGAGCAGCATGTCTCTAACGACTTTTTCCCTATTGATTACCATTTTAAGTCCATATCCAAAGTTGCTATTTGTGAAACCATTACTGAGATCTCATCCTTACTTGGTCTTACAGACACTGTTCCCATGCTGCTGATGGCCTTGCAAGATAGTGCTACCTCAAAGGCTGTGCCCAATGCTTCCCTCCATCCATGCAGCTTAGATGTTGCTCATGTCTCTCTCCTTTCATTCACTGTCTGTGAGATCCAGCCATCCATTACAGCACTATCTTTAACTTTTATTGTTGGTTGTCACGTTTGTGTTTGTTTGTTTTCATGCTGTACCCTATAGATTTCCGTGTCCTATTGATTTATCTCTATCCCAAAGGCTGCTCAATGGCTTAGTGATTTGTCTGTGGCTTGGGCAGGGTCCTGCCCTACTTGGGCAAAAAGAGAGAGGCAGCAGCTAGACACAAGCAGAGAGGGAAAAGGGCAGCTCCATGGATGGTCTGAGCTGCTGGAGCATTAGGTTTGCTCTGCGTAGACCAAGAATGATCTGAAGTCTCACCTGMTAACACAACTGTTCATCCTGCGGTGCTATGGGTCTGTTCCTCAAAGAGAAAACTCTTCTTTTGAACTCATAGGCTTCTTTTGAAGCACATAGTTGGGGACCACTGCTTCAAACCTAGCCTTGGGTTCCACAAGTGGAGAGGTAGCACTTTGTGGTGCTGGTGCAACAGCAAAACAAAGCACTGTTGCCTCAAGTGTGTGCAAGAAGAGAAGCCTCGGCCCTGGAAGCAGGCGTGGTATGTCAATAAAACAAGATTCATCTCTTTTTTCCCCAAGGCAATTTGCAGTCTCGTGCAATGTCTTTAAATTCAGGGACAGCATTTTTTTTTTAGGAGAAAGAAAGTAGTGGAGATAGACCTGGTTTGTGGCCCCAGGAACACCAAGCCTCGAGTTGTACGCTCTGAGTACAAGGCTTTGCAAAGCCAGCAGCAAGACAACTGCGTTAACTTGTCCCTTGTAACAAAGGAACCATTCATAACCTCAGGTTATAAACTGCTACCCAAAACTACAGTGCCATTTCGGGCTGTATCACACCTGGCTTGACAGCTGCTCTGTTCCCACCTCCACCACTTTGGGCTCGCCTAGAAAAATAAATATTTATGCTGGATTTTTTTTTTTAATCCTTCAAACTGACTCATTTTTATTTGGTTTTTTTTTTTTTCCTCATGGTTCATCTGGATGACAGCTATTCTAGACTAGTTCCGTCATTGTTGCTTTCTTCTTCATTTCTAGGGGGAAAAAATATTTCTGTCTGCACAGGTGGATTGGGGATGTCTTTTCACAGGTACCTCCCAATCCCACCCACAGCTCTTATCCAGACCACAAACTCAGGAAGAGATAAGGAGACCCCCTGAGTTATGAAGAAGAAGCTGGAAGAAAAATGTTAAGGTTCGGGTGGGGATGGAGGCCAGAGCATTCCTGGCCTTGGGAAGCAAAGTGGGAGTACGGACAGGATTGTGCCTCCTGCTGCAGTTGGGAACACTTGGCTCCCTCTTCTCCTGTGGACCAGGAGAAGAGACACCAAACTCCTCAAGCCAGACAAGTCCGTTCATAGGTCTGTGGTATCTCATCTCACCTGGATCCCAGACCTTTGTCCTCAAAAATTTCAGACCCTCGATCTCACCAATCACCGGCTTCCAGACCATCCATCTCTCCAGGACCGTTGGTCTCTCCCAGACCCACTTCCCAGTCCTCCCAGCCTCTCTGCTGGCCAGTCCAGCCTAACACTTGCTACCAGCTCCCACATGCACAGAAAAGAGAGAGACAGAATTTAGGGAGAGAACAGAAGCAGGCACAGGGTTTAGCCATGCAGCACGCTGATCTCCAATGTCCTCATTCCTCTCCACATTGAGCCCTTGGCCCTTTCCCTACACATCCATGATGAGCCTTGTCCTATTCTCCAGTTCCCTCTGCACCCCTGCCCATCCATAAATCCTGTACCCCTCTGTGTCCTCGTGCCACGTAGCTTGCACCATGCCCTGTGCAGCTCTGGGGTGCCCTGGTGGGTCAGTGGGAGGGTTTTTCAAGAGGACCCCAGGCTTGACCTGAGCTGCTGCACGATGAAAATTCCAAGGCAGATTTCCTAAATGCAGGTTTATTGATGAAAATAAGTTAGGCTTCCATATATTTTCTCTATAAATAGTGTAGTATCACATGTTACTGTCAGATTTTACCCGTGTTGTGCAAGTGGAAAATGTAGGAAGATGAATAACAGAGATTGCTGCTTCCCAAGCTGTGTCATTTCCTCCCCACTCAAAGTCGAGTTTGGAGTTGCGCATCCCTTCCAGAGCCACTTCTCTTTCCGTGACTCATGAGCCCACGAGGCTGATTCCCAAGGTCAGTCTGCTGCCAGCACCTGAATTCATTTGCTCCAAGTAGGAAAAAGAGGCAAAACGCAGCGAGGATGCACTGAGAGCGCTCTGCACACCAAGCCCCACCACACGCACACACTGCTGCAATATTTTGGTTCCTTTCCAGCAGTTGTCCTCTCTAGACAAGGAGCCTGTCCTCCTTACACTTGTCTCCAAAAGCWGAGATCCCACCAGGCTGATGTAGAAGAAGGCGGTGCAGACCTTGMCCCCTTCCTGTGCAAATTGTGCTCAAAGTCCTTCAACAGAGACCGGCACCAGGGTTCCACTGATGCACCGCGCTGTGGAAGGGAACCCACACGTTCCCCGTTTCAGACTCCCCGCAAAGTGCTCCATTGAAACWGTATCACCAGCTCACTGACTCCTTTTGCTTTCCTTGCTCCTCAAGGAAAAGCCAAAAGGCGAGATGTGGGGAGCATTASTACTGGTGAGCAAAGAGTCATAAGTGATTGAGGACCTTAAAACCTTATATTCTAGAGAAAAAGGTGCAGAGGGCAAAGTCCATTACAGAGTTAGCAAGGTGGTACAAGCCATGGAGGTTCTGTATGCCTGAATTCCTCTTGGATGTTCACAGTCAGTCTCGCAGAGACCTCAGCTCTCCATGTGTTCACACCCTAGTTTAGACAAAGCCACGTTTCTTCATACAGGGAACTCTGCACTGTGGCACTTGTCACATTTTTGGGTCCCTGCCCTAGCACTTTCCACTGGTCCAGGAGCTCAGAGAAGATATGAGGAGAAGAAATCCTCCAGCATTAGTTGTTCATGCTGGGTAATGAGGCAGTGGGCAATGTATGTGAGAGCATCAGCCAAGGCTATAACAAACAGGGAGATATGGATTACTGTGCGAGTGCTGTGTTTAAATCCAAGATGCAACTCAAACTGCCATGGAGTGACAGAAGGTCCATGTCCAGGCTCATGCTGCACAAGCAAAACTCATCTGCTTGCTCCTTCTGTCCTTCACYTACTGCTGCAACTTCAAATGAGGTAGTTTCGTCACACCATCCTGACCCCTCAGAGCAGGAAAAAGCAGCACATGGGAAATGATAGGACATAAAATGACCTATTTTCCATCACAAAAGCCACACAAGCTCCCAAAGCAGCCATTGATGATCTGAAGAGAGGTCAGCACCATCTCACAAGCACTGATGAGCAACAGCATGGAGAAGAAGCAGACGTTCCAGGTTACGATGCCCACAGGCTCTAGGCAGGTGCTCCAGAGACTCCAGTTATGCAAATAATTTTCAGTTTGTATCGAGATCCTGCACAGGACAGTTGGACAAGGTCACATGCAATGTTGTCTTAAACATAAGCTTTAGCTTTATTTCACTCTCTTTGGCAAGAGTTCTGAAGGTTTCTGAAGGTTTCTGAAACTAGTCCCCCTGCAAAAGTCAGGAATCTCATCTAATCTGCATGGCCATTTTGGAAGGATKTTTTCAGAGTCTTGAAGGTATAATTGCAAACTTCCAGTCCTTCCCTGAAGGACTTCATGTTTAACAAGGACTACTTTTTCCAAAAGGTCATCATCCGTTTCTGTTAAATAGGTGACCAAAGATGTCAAGACATTCCCCACTGATGTTCCTATAGGCGTTGCTCAGGTTATCATGCCACTAAAAGGGTAGCTTCCCCTTACATTTCTGCCAGGCTCAGGCCTGCTTTGGACTTCTCCCATCCCCTCTCTCTCCATCAGCCTCTCCACTGTGCTAATACCACTCACTGGTCCTAGACAACATCAGCAAAACAACGAGATGGAAAGCATCATTACAAAGATCAAGAAGACGAGGACCTCATGCTATGTCTGCGACTGAAACAAAACAAGATTCATAGAATCCCAGAATGTTTGAGGTTGGAAGGGACCTCTAGAGATCGTCTAGTCCAACCCCCTGCTCCAGCAGGGACACCCAGAGCACGGGGCACAGGGTGGCATCAGGTGGATTTGGGAGACCTCCAGAGAAGGAGACTCCACARCCTCCCTGGGCAGCCTGTGCCAGTGCTCTGTCACCCTGATAGTGAAGAAGTTCTTCCTCATATGAAGATGAAACTTCCTGTGTTTCAATTTGTACCCATTGCCCCTTATTCTGTCACTGGTCACCACCAAGAAGAGTTCACATTATCTAAGTTAGAGAAATATTTCTGTCTATGGAAACCAAACAAAATGAATGA